GTATTATGCCTGTTACCAGTTATGCTTGTACCACATTGTGCAAAAGACAATATATTAACTTCCTGCATTATCAATTGAATTTATTTGGCTGTAAACCATAATCTTACATTAAATGATCGAGATTAGGAGAAATTCTACTCTCAGACTTATTAATTAGCAGATTAAGAAAAATTAATTTCAATTAGAAAGTTAAGTTTTTTAATATAAATATTTTCAAAAGAAAAAAATTTAGAAACTTATACATTACTTATACATAATCTAAAGTTTCTTCTGTAGAGAAAACAGTGTTTAGAAATAATTAATTAATTAGGAAATAAAAAATAATCCAAATATCAGTATAGTAAGAAAATAATATTAAAAAAAAGAAAATTGATCATGTTTTCATTTAATAAATTTTAAAAGAAAATAATATATTATACGTCTTTCATTGGTAACGAATACAAGAATTAATATTAACAAATTAATCATGAACACTATCATTTTATAAAGAAATTTTGAGTTGGTAAAATAATAAAGAAATAATAAATAATAAACAAATAATAAATAATAAAGAAAATAAAAATAAATAAAGTTCCTAATATTTTGTATTTGCATATTTCAGAATGTTAGATATAAAACAATATTAATTTAAATTTTCTTCAGTTTATTTTAATAATAATATTTTACAAACCTAACACAGAGAGAACAATAGATAAGGAAATGAAAGAACAAAGATTCGAAAACAAAAAATATTCTAATCTATCTTCTTGCAAAGGCATCAAGCTTGGAAAGGAATTTTATAATCCGCGATTAATAATTATTATGCATTAATTATACGCATTATAACTAATATGCATTATTTATCTTTTAAACTGGATTTGCAATCTACAAAATAGAAAGCGCGAATAAAGTACACTACAAATTTTTTGCATAATCAGAAAAATCATGAAAATCACCATCAATTGAAATTAAACAATCTTCACTTAAAGCCAACAATTCATTAATTTATGTGTTTTTAACCGATTTATCAATAAATGAAATTATTCGAAAATAAATTTAGTGAATTTATACATAACTAAGATAATCAAAAATTGCATTACTTACATATCTATCTTTATCCGAAGAAGTCATAGCGATTGGGTCATTCAATATTATAGAAAACAATTATGATAGAACAAATATGATATTTAAGTATAAGTATTAAGTATTAAGTATAAGTATATTAAGTATTTAATGAAAATATAAAACATGCTTGTATTAGATATATGTCACATCGTTTTTCTATCTTTTTTCTATCGCTCCACGATTGCAATTCAGATGAAAGAAGAATATTTATTAATACACATTGTTTTTTTATATTTAACGAAAAATCATAATGGATAGAAATTTTCAAAAACAATTTTTAATATATGATTTGACTGGATATAATGAACAATAAGTTAATAACAATAATTATATTTCTTATCAATGCATATAACATGCTTATCCACATTTTTACAAGAAAAATTGATATTCTTTTCATCAAAAATTAATTCAAATGTAATACAAAGCTTTATATATAACGAAATACATACATTTTTATAATAATATCACAAAAAAAATGAGAAAAATTTAACAATCAACGAATCAAAGAATCAATAAGAATGATTATATTTGTATTTTTCCATATAATCTATCTAAAGAATTTAGTATACGAGACAATAATTAATGATAAAGACATTCTACAATCAAAAAATTTGTTGCTATGAAGAGAAACAATAGTTTTAAAAGAAAATTTATTTTATTTTATTGAATAGAAAAAAATGGAACATTTATTTGAACATTTATCATAAAATTTAACAAATATAAAATACTAAAAATAATATTAAGCTACAAAGTAATTTTTTTTTTTATTCTATTATATATTTCATGTTAATTATTGTAATTTTTAATACTAATTCAGTGTATTTGAAGTTAAATTTAAAAAAATTAAAAATATTAATTAAAAATTACTATATTAATTCTTAATATCTGTAATTTAGATAGAATAGATAATTTTTTTTAGTGATAAGTTATTGTAGGCAGAATAAGATAAGTTATGTATTATATATTTTACATTTAATTATAATATTTATTTATATATAAATATTCAGTTATCCATACTAGTTATATTTGTTTGAATGATAATTGATATTTAATATAAATGTGAATCCAACACTACAATATAGAATAATGTTCCATAAGTTACATTTTTTAAATTCCACAAGATAGACATGTAAATGAAGATCCTGATTTTTCTGTTATTATGTTTTTAATAATTATCTGGCATTAAATTCAAATGAAAAATTCGAAGATTAGATAATATCAATACTAAAATCACTTATTAAAAATGATCAAAAAGACACGTCTACTAAAAATTGGTTGCATACAAAAAGAAATGAATTGTTGATAATCTGGCTTTACTAGGTATAATAGATATGAATACTCTAAAATACACAGGATATTAATAAACATGATACATTTATAGAGAATTTTTACAATGTCAAAAAAAATACAAAATACAAAAATATCAGTTTAGACATTTATGTATTAAATTATAAAAAAAATATAAAAAAATTTAAATTTATATAAAAATTTAAATAAAGCGAAATAAAAACAACGAAAACATTGAAATCAAAGTGATAATATTCTATTTCTCACTTTATCTAATGTAAACTTCAATTGCTTTATAACTTAAATATTGGATATTAAATATTTTCGTACATCAATTTTTTCTTTTATTCTTTAGAATCGATCTTTCACGAATATATTAATATCCTATATTTATGCTCAATTTTCAATGACAAGTATTATTATTATTATTTCCTAAATATCTGTTATAAATTAGTTGATTAGCGAAATTGAAAAATATTAAACTAATAGATTTAAATTAGAAACTTTAAAAATACATCTTGATTAATACATGTATCATTAATTTAATGATATAATATTATGTATCATTAATATTATGTATCATTAATTTTTGTTCTTAAAAACGAAAAATTAATAAAAATTTGTGGTTAATATTTAATATTTAATATATCAAAATTAAGAATTTCATATTTTCTACAAGAAATTCCTGATATATGGAAGTTCAGTTTAAAACAAATGTGATTTAGAAAGTAAGTAAGAGAAATATTTTTAGTAAGTAAATAAATAAACAACGCGAGTTACAGTACGTCCTTTAAAAATTCAGCTTTATTCACGCAGTTGCAGTTTTTTTAAGATTTTTAAATATTATTAATTTTAATAATTTATATAAGTATCATGTATAGTTAATAACTATTTATCGAATAAAGAAAAATTTTGTCTACATTCATGAATTTAAAAAAATAAAGGATAATAGTAATAACAAAGATTGATATGATAAATGATAGTAATAAGATGATGATAGTAATAGCAAACTTGTTATATAAGTTGAAACACTGCTTATTTACGTGCTTAAATTAAGAATAATTAGAGATTTCTTAAATCTTTCTTATTAAAAAAAATTGCAGAAAAGAAAAGAAAAATTTAATTTGTGCTCTAATTTAAAATAGTATTTTAATAAAATGATTCCATAATCATCTTAGAATCAATGTAATTCGATATTCATTGATATAAAAATGTCAGCGAAATTTGAAAACAAAATATCGAATTACCGAAACTAAATGAAATCGAAAAATTTGATCGTTTTAATGATAAAGAATCTCGTTTTTGTAATTAGCAGAACTATTATCACTTATAGAAATGTTATTATAAGTTTATTATTAACAAATCAATGATCATTATTAAACAATGATCATTATATTAACAAATCATCAAGAATTAATTTAATATGATGAAAATGTGAATATTGATTATAATTCTTCTTAGCTTATTAATCTTACATCCAATAAAAAACATTAAATGCAAGTGAAATAAAAACAAAATTAGCTGATTTTGTTTTAAATTCACTGATCTATAGAATTCAAATTGATTAAATTATTATTAGTGATTTTTTTGTATATGTCATAATAATTAAAACAATTATTCTCACAAATACAAAAACAATAGTAAGTAAAACATTAATAATTTTTAATTCGAAATTTTAGAATTTCGATTTATTTCTAAATTTTATCAAATAGGCAGATTATACAATCATTATTCATTTATGGACTTAAATATATAAAATATATAATTATGTACAATGTCTGAAACAAATTCTGAATATATATTTTTTTTAAATAACAAATTACATAATATATTGTAAACTAAAATTACATTAATTTTATATGAAAATCTTCTTCTGTATCTTATTTTTGTATGTATGGATATTTTTAATTATTTTAGCATCTAAAATCTATCTTTTTAATTCAAAAATTATATATTTTTTTTATAAATTTAAAAATAATATATAAAAATATTTTTAAAGATTTGTATGTAAGTTATAAGCTATATAAGCTTATGTTAAATGAAATAGAGTGAAATAAAATGAGAATTCGTTACATGATTGGTCTCATTCTATTTTTGTCTCGCTTTATCTAATGTGAACTAAACTATTGTAAATTTAACTTATATACTTATAATTTAATAATTATATTGATTTTGATATATCAATTTATATCTTTGTTTTAATTTAGAATCGACTCTTCAAAAAATTGTTATTCCACGAATATAATATGTTATATATATTAATGAATTTTTTGTTCATTCAATCAAAATTTAACATATAATGATATAATAATTGAATCATTTCCTATATACAAATATTCATTATATAAAATGAAATCGTGTAACTTGAAAAATTCTTATTCAATATTTCTATAATTTTGTTTCGATATTTAAAATCAATCTTTCAAAAATTTTCTAAATACAGAATACATATTTCAACATCTTTTATACATATAATATAGTAAATATAATAATATAATAGATAATATATAATATAATACATATTATAATAGATAAAACTACAATATAATTATGTATGTATAAATGTATATTAGATAATATTAGAAAAAATATAAAAATATTAAACTTACCAATATGTTTCAGATCATTATGAATTCTCCAGAAATAAATATATTATTTTTTGCAATTTCAATAGAATCATTATCTAAAAAAATCAAATTAATTCGTTATCAATCAACAAAGTATTAAATGTAGAACTCAATATTCTTAATCTTAAATAAGCATTAATAATTTAATCTTAATTTAATCATTAATAATTTAATCTTAATTTAATCTTTATTCACATACCATTCGAAAAACAAGAATAATTTTAAATAAATCTCATGGTCGACAGTATAATATTCAACATATATATGTATATATATAGTTCACTCAAAAATATTGTACTATTACCAAATCGATCTAAAACAAAATATTTTAATTACTAATATTATATGAGAATTGTTGTAACATAAATTTACAATAATGCAACATAGATCAATACTATAGAATTGGAAAAATAGCAATATCATTTAAATTAATAATAAAGTCAAGAGGAATTTTAAAAGGATTATTTGATCTAAAATTGTAAATGCTTTGAAATGAAGTGATCTCCATTTATTATTACTGGCATTAAATTAATAAATAAATTTTATTTATATATAAATAAATAAATTTTATTTTATAAAAGGAAATAAATACTTTCTATTTAATTTATATTATAATAGGAAATAATATAATAGAACATTAATAAAAAATATTTATATAATAAAAAAAAAAAGAATATCTTATCTTAAATGTTTTTTTTTCTATGATTTTATAAAAAATATGTATATATATTAAATCTATAATTAGGACAAAATTTCAGAATCAATATCAAAACAGAAATAGAAATCAGAAGAGAACAGTAACCGAAATTGATATTATTGGAAATTTCAATTTATAAAAATTATTAAGAATAAAAAGTTCTCCATAACTGATTTAATTATTTTAATATAAAAGTTTTAAATAGTTATTTTCGAAATTATTTTATGTCCTTCCTTATTTAAATTATTTATTTTTATACATGCTAATATTAATATTATATTGAAATTATGTTATTGTTTCATGCTAATTTTTATATTCTATTATATTCTATTTAATATTTTAAAATAGTTTATATTATCGATTTGAAATTCAACAAATTGAACGTATTGTATACATATATAAGACGATATATATTTAATTTGCCAATATATTTTTAATAATGAAACTTTATCTGTCTTTTATAATCATCAAATAATTTTTATAATTTCAAAGAAAATGTGTTACTATATTATGTTAAATTCATAATCTTTAATCTTTTTTTGAATACTACAATGTCTATTTGTATAAAACTGAAATATGACATAGTGTAAATATAATATATAATAACAAAATTAGATATCTTATATCATAAAATTTAAAAGAATTTTATAAAATATTATTCCCACATTGTTCAGAAAAAATTTCTTCCTGATATAATTGGTACATACTTCCAACATAATTCAATCACTATTTTATCCATGCTGTAAAATAGAAAATATTATTAATATAAAAATATTTATGAGAAAATAGAAAATGTTATAGTGGTTAAACTTTTAAGGAAACATTAATTATAATTTCATCAGTAAAAAATTTAACACTTGTAAACTTTTTAATATGTTATTTAAATTATTTTATATCACGAGAAATAATAAATTCTTTCATAAGTGACAGCAGTTTAGGACTATTGCTAATTATTAACTATAGAAACTCGAATTTTTGCTTTGATGTTATTCACGCTGACGGGAAGAAAATACATGATGAAAATGCAAAATGAAAATGAAAATATATAAAATGATGATAAATAAAAAAAATATCTCCATGATAAATCATGCGTGATTCTATTTAGATCATTTTATACGAAATTCATTTCTGATTTCAACATCATTTTATTTATTTATATCACGTCTTTTAGATATGTATAACATAAATTAATGAAATTAAAGAGATCCAAATTCTATACATTTGTTTAAATGTAATAAATACAAAATTTTGAATTTTGCAATTTTTATCGATTTTTATTTTATAATAATATCTTGCACATGTTAATTTTTATTTTGAAAACTATTTATTGTTTTTTTTAGATTTAGAAGAATTAACAATTTTTTCTAACATTAATCTACAAAAATTTTTAATATTAAAAATTATTTTTATTTTATAACAAATTCTTATTTAGCAAATTTTTTCGTGAAAATTTAGGTCAAATTAAAGGTCAAAAAATTTTTTAAAAAATATAATCATGTTATTTTTTAGTTGCAATTTCAAAATAAAGCAATATCAAATGAATCCTGAGATTTATGATTTTAAAATTAATTAAAATAATAGAACTTATGAAAAACATATCGTATTCATTTTTAATTATTAGTTTAATGTATTATATTTATTCTAATTTCATTATTTATATTTATATATTATTTTTTATTTATATTATATATATTTTTTGTAATCTAATTATTCTGATTATTATTAGTTATTATTAATTGAAATTAATTTATCATCTTGATAAAAAACACATTTTATAAATAAATAATTTAATTTAATAAATATTGTAATTCAATTTCAAAAAGAATTGATAAATTATATTTAATTTCTTCTAATTATTTAAAATTACATTTAATTTTTTTATATTAAATATATAAAATTAATATTAAAATAATATTAATTATTTTAATAAATTGATAGAATATAAAATAGAATATAAAATATAATTTCTGATAAAAAAATTAATATTTCAACGATAAAAGAAAAATTAAAGAAAACCAATTTTTAACTTTTAATTCTTCAACTACTATAAATATATAATGTTACAATTTTATATTAAAATATATAGAATAAGGAAAAATAAAAATAATAATTATTACGTACTTACATCATCTTAAATGCTACAAATGATGGATGCCAATATTTATCTGGAATATCAGATATATTTCCAGTAGCCATATTCATAGAGATGTCACTCTATAAAAAAACAAGTAACAAAAAATATTTTTATTGTATCAATTAAAATGTATAATACAATATAATAATATTAATATAATATAATATAATAATAATAATAATAATAATAATAATAATAATAATAATAATAATAATAATAATAATAATAATGTAATATAATATAATAATAATTTAATAAAATCATCGAAATAAAACGATTATACATTTTGTTACATAATAATTCTTATATATAAATTTTAAATTATAATAAATATAATTTTTTAAATAAATATAATAAATAATATAATAAATATAATTCTTATTAGAAAGAACAGAATAAAAATAATAATACATATTAAAAATAATAATAATAAATTCATCTAAAATAAAAATAAAATATATAATTCATTATTAACAAATAATAATTTTTTAAATAATTGTGTTTTACAATTAAAAAAACACAAAAAAAAAAGAAAACATCCAGCATATTATTTAACTGTGATTCCCATTTTATTTTTTTTTAACTTAAATTTATTAATTATTCACATGATTTTCAATATTAAATTTCATTATCATTTAATTTATCATTTATTATACAAATATTATGTGTATTAAATAAATAAAATTTTATAATACTAAATATATAAATGTTATAATAAATGTTTATATTATTAATAAGTGTTTAAATATATCAGAAAACAATCAATAAATTAAAGAAATTATAAGAAAATTATAAGAAACAAATATATATACAACAAATATATATATAATCATTTGTTATATGTGAACATTATCAATCATCGCTTAATATACTCATGATAATTGATAAAAAAAGGTAACAGCAAATAGCTATCGATAAGTCTTTTTAGATCTAAAAATTTCCATGTTAAAATTTGAATAATTTAAAAAATACATATTTATTTTTTATATTCTAAATAATTGATTGAAATATATATATAAAATTATAATAACGCATACATAATTCAATATTATTAATAATATTGAAATTAATGAATAAAAAATAAATTCATAAAAAATTGATTCAAAAAAATTTATGCAAGTGTTAAAAAATTTAGTATTCTTTTTGAAGCTATGGATAATTATGAGAAAATTAAAAAATCTTTTGAATGATTTTGATGAAAAATTTGAAGAATTATGAATTATGAAGAATTATTATATGAAAACTAAAAATATCTATCGTATTTTTATTGAATTTGTTTAAAATTGATGTAATTTGAATTTTATCCGTTTTTAAAAATTTATTTTGCGAAATAACAGAAGAAAAAAGTAAAATTAATAGAATTGCATAAAAATAAAGATTTTAATATGTTCCATGAATTTATAAAGTCGATTAATGGATTCTCGAGAATGAATTCTTAAAAAATATAATATAGCATTTATTATTCACTTTGGGGACATCATTGCCAATTATTATATTTGATTATGAAATTTATCAAATTTAAATATTGTTCAAAATTAATATATCAATATTCAATGAAATTAATTTCAAAACGAAATACAATTTTTGAATATGAAATATTAAACAATATTTGAATATGAAATATATATTACACATTAATATTCCAATTAGAATTCCATAAACTTTTTATCAAGTTCAAATTATAATATTTTATTAAAATTATTTTTAATCATACGTATAAAATAATAAATAATAAATAGACAATATTAGTATATATTAATACGTACCAGTAGAAGTTCACAAAAATTTTATCATATATTCATTAATATTATTAGTGGTCATGCTAAAAAATATTTAAACAAATTTATATAATTTAAATGGTAAATATCATACTATTTTTTATTTAAAACTTATTAAAAACTTATTTAAAACTTTTATTTAAAATTACTTTTAGTGTAATAGTAAATTTTGTACATATATATAGTATATATATAATATATATAAATATATAGTATATATATAAATATATATATATTATAATTTATAATATAATATAATATGATATAATATAATATAATATAATAAATAATATTTTCTTAATACTTTAATTTATAATTTTATAGAAAAAAAATAACACTTAACATCACGCGATTGTAACTGAAGAAATACTGACGCGATCGATTTACGCCCGAAGTCGTCAGTCATTATAAACAAAAGATACTTGTCGCTAAGCAACTGCCTTAGGGACAATAAGATAGCGCAGCAATAGTTTCATTTATTATATATATATATATGTATTTAAAAGAAATAAAACTACAATAAATAATTAATATATATTATAAAATAATTAACAGTTGATAAATGAGAACAATATTTAAATTTTATATTTAATTTAAATCAACTTACTTAATAAATAAAAATTTAAATAATTATTTTACTCAAAATGTATACAAAAGAAATACACAATTCTATAAGCGAGTCGGCATAGAGCATTTGTTTTTTGTTACTACTACAGCTTTATGTAAACATTTTTTATATAATCATTAAAACTACCTTTTCTTCGGAATTCTAGTTTTTAAGACGCTCGAGAACATTCGAGAGAATTTATTCAAATTTTCTAACTTTATTAAAAATTTGCATAATTATATCTATTACATAAATATCTATATTACGTAAATATTAATATATTTAAAATAATAATTAATATACATTAAAAATAATTCGTGAAATTATTTTGTCGATTTTATTTTAATTACAAGTTAATGATTGAGAAAAAATATTAATGATCGATGACATAATAAATTTTATAATTTATATAATTATATACATGAAAATTTTATAGTTTATATACAATTAGTAAAAAATATTTATTTTATTTTATTTTATACTATCTTATAATATGACATTTATTTTCAAAAATTTAATTTTAGTTAAAATATTTATAAGTAATATACATATATGTAATGTATATGAGGATTTATTTTTTGATGGAAAATTTCTTTGAATGTATAACATCAATTCTCAAATTTTATTTTTTCATGTTTTATATAAAATTTCAAATGGAAATATTTTTTATAATGAAGTAATAGAACATTAAATATTTTATATTTTATTATAATTTATTCTTGAACTTATTTATTATTAGAAATTATTTTTGAAAATTTATCCACAACAATTTGATCAAACAATTTGAGTTTTTTTGAAAAGTAGAAAGATTTTTTATTAGACATTTAAAAAATTATAATTGAAATCGCGAAAAAAATAATAAACATCTCTTTTTACAACTTTTTTTTATCTGCGCGTATAATGATAATTTAAACAATGTTTTGTAGATTTATGTCAATTACTATTGAAATGGACTAATGAAGAAAGAATCGATAGGCAACGAAAAATATAAAAATTTATAAATTTATTGATATCTAAATTTTAATGATCTATATATAGATTATTGATTATTTTTTACCAAAACTATAAATAAAATAAGACAAAAGAAATTTTATTTTCATTATATTACTCTTATAAGTCTCCACTTCATTTTATTTAATATAAAATCAGATTGTTTATAATTTAATAAATAAACTTCAATTGATATTCTTATTAATTTTTATATTTATAGCAATTTTTATATTTATCGACTTCTAGAATTAACTTTCGAAATGAATCTCAGTCAGTAGTATTATACATTATGTATAATATATTTATGTATAATAACATTAATGAATATATTAATACATTATAAGTGGATAAATAAGTCACGTGCTGACACACGTATTATGGATACGTAAGTAAAATTCAATATAATAATAACAACAATTTTTTACAAATATCTAGAAAACTAAGGTTAAGCAGAAATTATATAATAAATAATAAATAAATATTTATTATTATTATATAATTATATAATAAATAATATATATAAAAAAAATTCTTTAATTTTATTCTTTATAATATATTTAAGAATCATCAATGTCTTTTTTTATATATATATGCTTATTATTCTATATGATTATAACTATTTTAAAGCAACTATTATAATGATAATATTATATTGAAAATATTATGATGAATTATAATGAATTATATATTATTATAATGAAAATATTATAAATAACTATTATAATGATCATTGAAGTAAAATTTTCTTATAAATATAAGTATAAATATAAATTTTAATAGAAAGTATATAAATACTTAAATTAGCGAAATATAACGCAGAAAGACAAAGAAATTAATGGTTGCTGGATGTAAACAAATCACGAAGCGAAGAACAAAGCAGTGACTATACTTGCGATTGGCATAAATATACTATATGTATACATATATGTATATATATGAATAGAATTCAATGTGATAATAACGACAATATTTTAAAAATATCTGAAATAAGAGATGACGGTTACAAAAATCATAAAAATCGATTATTTGTAACTATCCGCGATATTAATCATTTAAAATTATCAAATATAATTATCAAAGTTTCCATATTAAATATAATAATATTCAATAAAAAAATAATTTCAATTAAAAAATTAGAAGTTGCTTGATATATCTTTTCAAGACCAAATTATATGTAATTATATATATATATATATATATATATATATAATAAATAATATGATTTATTTTCCTTAATATTCTATAATTTTTATTTGAATATCTTTCTGTAATTTACATATGTTTCAATATAATTAGCTGAAAATATTACAATATAATATTCTTCTAATCATAAATATATTATAAAAATTAAATGGTTTTTTCTTATTGATTTTTTTTTATTGAATTTCTTTAATAAAATTTTCTTTTTTATTTTAATTTCTTGTAAAAATAGGGTAATATCTGTTATCCATTAATAATCTTATATACTGTATTATAATAAATATATAGTCAAATCCTTGAGCAATTAAAAAATATATACATATATTTTCAACTATAAGGTTAGTCTTTATTTTAAATCTTATATTATTCAAGTTAGTATATTATATTATTTGTTATACTTAAAATAATTAATTTATATATATAGAATATAAAATATATAAAATAGAATTATTGTTAATGATAAATTAATATTCTATGAAAATTCTAAATTCTAAACAAAAAATTAAATAATAATCACAATTTTGAATTTAATTTAATAATTTTTTTAGAAAATTTATGTAGAATTTCTAATTTTTATCTGTAATATTATAATAAATATAACTTGTTTTGATATTATTTGTATTTGATTATATTTTCAAATAAGAAACATTAAACTTATTATATTCAATATTCTATAAAATCTGTTATGAATTACAATTATTGCTAGAAACAAAGATTTTGTTAAAAACATGAAAAATAAAGAGATAGTAAAAAAAATTAATAATTATAAATTTTTTATTTAAAAAATATTTATGGATTAATATGATAAAACTAAAAAGTATTAAAAACCAAATATTAAAAACAATAAGATTAAAATTTACAATTATGAAAGAACAAATTCTAATATTAATTTATGTTACGAATGATATATATATATCTTATTATTTTATTTTTTTTGTGTCATTTTATGTGTCAAAATATGAAATAAAAATAATAGTAATTAAAGTACAATAATAATATAATAATTTGGATAGAAAATAAGAAAATTATATTTTATTCAATATAATTTTATTTTATTAAATATATATTTTATATATTTTTTATTTATATTTATTATAAATTATGAATAAAACAAAGTATTTAAATATTTTATTTATTTCAATATTTTTACAACAATTTAAAAAACTGAAAAAATGAATTATATAAAATTGGATTTTTATTCCATTATTTTTATTGGAAAAGATTTAATGCGGAATAACACATTATATATACATACTATTAAAATATATATAATTATTTAAAAATGAAAATATTCTAATATGAATAATAATTTATTTATTATATATATTGTGTATTGAATTAAAATTTTTAAAAGTATTAAAATGTTAATAATAAATTCATATATATTTTCTAAAGATATTTTTTTCTAAAAGATATTTTAATTATCTTAAAATATCAATTAAATTAGTATTGTAATAATATAAAATTTAATTAATTGAATTCTAAAATTAAAAAATCCATTTTGATTGACCATTTTGATAAAATTAATATAAATTAATATGTTAATTTGTAATTAAAATTGTAAAATATTTTTTTATACAATCAATTTACAATATTATTTAATTTACAATTTATAATTTACAATTTACAATTTATACAAAAATTTACAAAACAAAGTTGTTATAAAACTAAAAATTTTTTTTTTAAATAATATAATTTTACACTTAATTTTATATCTATAAAATTTTATATTTAATTTTCAAATATGTAAAATTTCATTACATATTGTAATGAATTTTATTATATTATTATATATATTATTATATAAGTTAATTTTAATCTTAAAATTAATTAATATTAATAATTTAATTTTTATTAAAAAATAACTTATTTAATGTAAAATAATTTATGTAAAATAATTTATATTTAAAAATAAAAATTGAATTACTAAAAATAATTTATTTTTCATATTTAAATATAATTTATAATATAAAATTTATTTATAAAAAAATTACAAACAATTATATTATTCTCAAAAGGATCAATAACATAGAAGAGATTAATAACAAAGGAAAATTATAAAAGAAACCTAATTCATCATAAAAATAAGATTATTTATTAAAAATAAAACATTATACAAATAAGAGATGATATTATTTTGTCAATATTAAAAAAATATATATAAAATATTTCAATAAATTATTAATTCACTTAATTTAATAAATTATTTTTTTCAATAATATACATGTACATATATGCATATTTTTTTAATATTTTTTATAATAAAATTATTTTATAATATAATTTTAAAATATATTTTAATTTATAATAATATATATATTTAAAAATTATTTTTTATAATATAAATTAATATTACATTATAATGATAAATATAATTAGAGTTTCTTGACTTACCTTTTATTCTATGATTAATTAATTTATATTGTTTCATTGATTTTTTGTAATTATTTCGATTTTGGTATATACATTTATTGCAATTACTTTAATGAAATATTATTTTATCTACTATTTATTACAAAAACTTAAGTTAAATAAAAATCAAACAAGAGAGTACTCATAAGAGAATTCCGTATCACGTGCTTCTATCACGTATAGAACTAGTAATGCTTGAGCAGGGACAGTCTAGAGAAGGGGAATACTCCCTTCCATTATTCACCATCACTCAATCTTATATAACCTTACCTGAGATATAACCAATATCCATGCTTGTTTTTATGAATGTATTGAATTTTTCAAAATTAACCAATCAAATTCATTTATGTTGCGAATATCAAATTACCAGCTTTGCGATCATATAATTTAAATACATCAATAATTTTCTTTATTACAGAATTTCGAAGATTCACAGATATTACAGATTCTTCTTGTAAGTAGATTACTCAAGATCATCAAGAGTAATTTCATCGATATTATTTCAGAAATATTTTATATTTATTGATTTTATTTTAATTACATTAAGATTTGCATTTATTAATACATTGAAATCATCGACAATATTTTCCATCAATATTTAGTTTACTGATATCAAGTTATATTATTATTATTATTATTTACGGTAAGTTTTTTCATGATATTTATTTTCTTTTTTGAGAAATATAAAGAATATTAAAATATTAATAAATCACATTATATATATATACATATTTTATATATATCAATAGTTTAATTTAGTTTAATAGTTTATCTAATAGTTTAATTTTGTTATTTTAATAGTTTACTTTTATTTTAACTATTTTATTTCTTAAATCAATAAATAAAAATAAAATATTTTATAAAAATAAAATTTTAATTTTTTTTAAATTTAAATATTTCATTAACTATAATTCACGTATATAATTCTGTATATTATATATTATTTTTCTTAAATATATATATATATACATTAGATATTATTTGAAGATAGGATCATATTTCTTCTATTATTTTCTCTATTAACTTTTGCTAATATTTATTGGTTAAATTATTGTATGAAATCATATGATAGATTTTAAACTTTTGGTTAATTATGGAATAATATTCTTAAATATATATAAGTATATATTTATATATACATATAACATAATTTAAATGTCTTTATATCAATTGAATTTAATATTTGATTTCAACATTGTTTATGATTATTAAACTAGAATATTATTATTTTTAACAAAGTTGAAGAAAATCTTGTATATTTTTCTATTTTTAAAAGAAGTTAGATCTGTAATCTTTGTCTCTTAAATAACTAAAATCGTTTCAAATAAATGTAATGTATTTTGTATTATTTCACTATATAATAGTGAATAATAGAAGATTTATGATTAAAATTTCACATTGAATAAGTACATTGAAGTTATTTCTTATATATATATATATTTTATATAAATGATCATTAGATATAATTTAATTCTATTTTGGAAAAATAAAGAAAGTATGTTTTTTTTTTCAAATTAGTTTGTTCATACCTATTATAAACATAAAGTTAACTATTTATTTATTTTCTTTTTGGGCTTTGGAAAACAAGTATATAATAAAGAATATAGCAACTGTTTTGTTTATATAAATAATATTTGTTTATTTATATAATAATTTTGTTTTATAAATATAAATGAATGTTGTTATGTTAGAATTTTAAGAATATTTTATTTTAAGTTCAATAAAATGAAAAAAAGTCATACATTAAATTTTAAATTGTTATTATAAGAGACTTTTCTTTTGCAAATTTATTTTAAAACAAATTCCTTTAAAAATTTTCTGTAAAATCATTTAAATTTATATTTATTAAAAAAAATGCAGTTTTATTTTTTCACTGTGTTCTACAACAAAAAGTGATTTTCGAAAAAGAAATATTTAGAAATAAACTAAAAACTTCATGCTTTAAAATAAATCAAAGTACATTTTTGTACAATTTTTTTTTTTTCTTTCTTTTATATGAATCTTCAATAATTCAAAAATCGATAGTTTTTTGGTCAAAATTTAATGTTCTTTTAATTTTGAATAAATATACATATATTAATAATTTTTTCATATTATGTTTAAGTACTATTTATAATATATTTAAATTAATTTCTATATTTTTATTAAATATTTTTTTAATATTTAATATATAATAATGATTTTTTTATTCTCAATATATTCTAAAATTTATAAAAAAAATGTCAACTATCGCGTTGCATTATCAATTTTTAAATTAATTATTATTAATTAAATTAATTATTTTTAATTTTTAATTTTATTATGTTTCAAAATTTTTCAGTTTCTATAATAATCGCGTTAAAAATATTTTATTAACTATAATAATATTTATTATTTCTAATTTTTTAAAATAAATTAATAAATTCTCGAACGAATTATATCCGTTTACTTTTGAGAGAATATTTACTTATAAATTTTCGTATAAAATATTTATATATTCAATCTTATCATTGTATACATAATCTTATTAATAACAATACGGTTATTTATTCTAGAAATTATTATGTATCTGAAATCGATCCATCTCCAATTTGATAGTTAGTTTTGAATTTTTCAAATTTAATTTCTTGTTTGATTTAAAAAAATATTTTTCTTTTTTTGGTTTATTTTGAAAGAATATAATGTTTTTTCAGATCATAATATCTTTATTTCTTAATCTTTTTTCTTATTTTATTGTTTTATTTGCATCGTAATTTTGATGATGATTTCCTCTTTGGTATTATGAAAATAAAAATAATCTTTATAATAATCTTTAATATTCTTTTATATGTTTCAATTTCAATGTTTACATTTATGTAAAAACATAATGTTAAATATTGTTATATACATCGCAGTTAATTAAAGTATGTTATTTTTAGAATGTTATTTTATATTTTATTTCACATTTTACACTTTATTTTCTCGATTGTTTAATTTTTGATTTTTTTTTTTTACATTGATTGTTTATTAAATAATTATTATTTTTTTTTTAATTAAATAGGAAATTTATTTTTTTATCATTAATTTATTTATTTATCACCCATTTTTCGATGCCTGTATAATTTTTGTTCCTTATATAATTTGAAAATTATTTTTCGTTTTTCTGTAATAATTTTAATTTATTTTCGAATTATTTTTTTATATGGCATTATTATTTAAATATTATAATAAATTATTAGAATATTTAATTGATTATTAATTATAGAAATATTCTTTAATATGATATAATAATATAAATATAATAAAGTCAATTCTATTAAACATGATACAAATATTTTTATATTATATTATTATGTACTATATTATATATTATTATATTTCTGCAATGAAATATTTTCAAAACGCTATTAAATTTGTTTTTAATATAAAATATCTCGAAATATATGTTATCAAAGTTAACGTACTATTTTATATCACATATAATTGTCAGATAATAATTTATATAAATTATTATTACTTTAATTTTTTTATTCTATAATAATAATCTATAATAATAATAATTACTAGGAATTTTTAAATAAAATAATCTTTATAGATATATGTATATGCAATACATGATCAAAATTTTTTTTCCATATATTAACTTTTTTTTAAATATTAATATTACTACTTTTCACTACGATATCGTATTTTATATATTACGCAATTTTTTTATCCTTGTTTAATATAAAATTAAAATAAATAAATTGTAATTTCCTTTTTTATATTATTATTTTATAAATTTTTTAATAGTGAACAAATTAAAAATTATTAATTAATGTTCATATTAAATTCCATATTTCAGCGCACATAATACATAATATTTTCAATTGTTTTTTTTTTTTGACTTTGTTCGATAGAATTGTCTATAACTAACAAGTTCATATTTTAGTGATTAGTATTTTAGTATTTAGAAAAAAAAAAACGTAATATTTTCAATTTTTTCTTTGACTTTGTTCAGTAGAAATCTATATTTTCATTTAACATATTTGTTATTATAGTTTGGCTATAAATATAAATATAAATTTTACAAAAAAGTGTAGCTTTCAGTAAATAGTTAATGTCTCATTTTTTATATTGAGAGATAAATTATTTTTTATAATTATATATAAGATAATATTGGTTAATCTTTTAGTTTTCATTATCTCATCGAAAGGAAATAAATAATAAAGAAATATAATTTATATAATTAATTCAAATAAAATAAATTGTAAAAATGATTGTAAAAAAAACAAAATAATAGTTAAATTTATATTATTCAATAACAAATATTAGTATTGATTACATATAAATCGTTAATATTTTCAATACGACATTTGAAAATTTACTGTCTATTAGTTTAACAACTTTGATATATAACCTTTATTGTTTTCTTCTGATTCCAGAGTTTCCTTTTGTTTTTATATCAAAGTTTGGTTTGAGAGTTCAATTTGAATCGTCAGGACAAGATATGTTTGTATCCGCAAGTATTGATATAAGTAAATAATATATAAATTGTGAATAATTAACCAGTATAGTATAATATGCAATAATTTTTTATTTTTAAGAATATAAGTCTATATATTTTTAAATAGAGAAAATAAATTGTTTCTCGCTAAGAATATTTTTACCTAATGTTATTAAAAAAAAATCTATAGAACTATATCTTATGATCAAATAATGCAATAAATACAATTTTTCACAGAAGATCAAATTATAATTTTTATCATATTGAGATAAATATCTATATTCAAAATTATATATTAATAAAAATTTATAAAACAATCTAGTTTAAAAATCTCAGATCATATATTTTTAATTATTTTTAGTCATTTTTATTTTCACCTAAATAATAAAAAATGACAAATAAACTTACAAAAACTTATAAAAAAATCGTACTAAAATAAACAGGAGCATATTATTTGAAATCCTGGGACTGTTAATTACAAGTGTAAACAAATTATTCTATTTATCATGTCTAATAATTTTAAATTCAATTATTAATAAATTAAATATGAAAACAGTTTTTAAAATAATGTTAATTAGACCAAA